GACAACGAGGCTCGAAACTCTTCATGGGTTGATCCGTCTCCTTTACCAAGAGCTCCGGTGAACATTCCCGAGGGGGATGTTCGGCCGGAAACTGACTCCTTTTCACAAAAGCACAACTGGGAATTTCTGCCTCCGGCCGTTTCTGTTACAGCCATGGCTGTAGGCGGAAGACTGGTGCTTCATGGGATTGTGTTTGATTCTTATCTCAACAATGGCAACAACTCTTGGGCCTCCTAACGTCAGCGCAGGCACTCACTGTATGGGGTTAACTTCATCTGCATCCACTGCAATGTTTTCTTGCCTTTTTATCAGGATCAACGATTGTCACACGCCAATCTCTCTCCGTCTCCGCCCTCATCTTCAATGATGGCTGGTCACATCGAACGTTTGCGGAGGGGTCACTTTGAGGCTATTCGTCTTGTCCCTTTGTCTGTTCGTAGACACTTCAACAGTAGTTTGGGGAGCGCACTTTCAAGATCTGCAAGTGGCAGGGCGGTGGTCCGACGAAGAGCATTGCCCCCACATCAACAATCTCAAATTCAAGTTCTTTCGACTCATCGACTTGACTCCCTCAACATCCATGTCCAGGCTCGGCATATTCCAGGAATCTTCAACATCATAGACCCAACAGACCATCACCGACCGAGTGGTCTCTTCATCCAACATCATTCCAGTGCATTTGCCAACTTTATTGGGCCCCAGAAGTAGACCTCTTCGCCACCCACTTCAATGCTCAGCTATCCCGATTCGTATCTCCCATCCCCGATCCTGGCTTGGGAGCACGATGCGTTGGCAATTTCGGGGGAAGGTCTCAATGCCTATGCCTTTCCCCCAACAGGGCTCCTTCACTGCAGGGTCGCTGGACTTTAGTCTCTCCCTATTGGCCAACGCGCAATTGGTTACCCACCTTGCTGAGGCTCGCCGATGAATGATTTCATCATTTTCCGCTCCACGATGACCTACTACTTCAGACTCACTCTCAGTGGCTCCTTCTGTCCCTTGCAATGCTCCATCTCTGCATTTAGTGCATCAGCAAAAGTCGCTCATTGCCAAAGGCTACTCCCAGCGGGTAGCGTAGACCATCACTGTTGCTTATCGTTCTTCCACCCTGTGGTTTTATGACCACAAGTGGACAGTCTTTGACTTATTGTCACGCTCGTGATATTTCAACCCCTTCCCCAGCCTCACCTCAACAGATCGCCGAGGATTTACATCACGGAAACTTACGGGATCCACGTTGGCAATCTACCTTGTGGCATTGCCACCACTTCCGATGCAAAGGTTTCCTCGGTTGCGGAATTACAATTGCTCATCCATTACTACAAATTAGCAGACCAAGCTGCACCTCTCCTTCCTGGGACCTGAATGTTCTTCAACACCTTGTTTCCTGTGATTAAGAGCCACTGACAGAGAAGGACTTCGAGATGTAGGATAAGTATATAAATATACAATTTATACTAAAATTTCCAATTTTGTGAAAATCAAACATCAATATTCCTCACACATGGCAAACATCATCTGAGAAACCAAAAACTCCGAGAGATGATATTCTGGTAGATTGTGCAGCGCCACATTGTGGTTCAGGGTCAACCATGGATGATTCTTAGTATTTAAAATAAATTCTACCATGGTGTTGATGAATGCTTGATTCTGATTGGTTAAAAAGACGTTTCCTTTTCGCTACGGAAACCCCTTTCAAATATATTAAGTCTTTTCACACAAAAAATGTGCGTATGAATACATCGATTGCCTACATATCGATTCATAAAAAGTGGCTGCCGATCAATCACCCCCATATGTAAAACGTATCTATATTTCCTCTATTACACGCTGGGTCTTAAATACAAGCCAGATCTCTAATACACATCAAGTCAAGGGCTCTCGCGAAATTAATAGACGGCCTGGCATCCAACAGAGGAAATACGGTAGTTTGATATCTAATGTTTTAGGCGTTCTAGGCCGCAACCCTGACTGCTATGTTGATGACATTACAAGATTTAACGAAGGCATATCTTTTCCATACAAATGAAATGTTTATGAACCTGTTAGGGACATTCTATGGAGACCAGAATTGGAACAGGCTATTTCCTCATTGAAACAACTGACAATGACAGTAAAATAAAACATTATAAAACATGTTTGAAGAAACTTTATTCATGACAACATGTTGTTTACAAATCTTTTTGTGATATTCATTGCCATCTCTGTCTATCACCACCGTAAGGATTTGGCAGGAGAGGATTTAAAAGTCCATAAAAAAACACTCCTAGATTCTCTAGCTCCTTTCGAAAGATGAAAACAATGTCCTGACATCACTGAAGTCAAAGCACACTTGATTTTATCAAAATTGATGAGATTCATTTCAGAACACACAATACACGAACCACTGTTTCCGGGCCACACTAGTCACAATAATTTTCTTTCACACGCTTGCGTGAATCCGTGAAAAGTTCAAATTGACAGGTCAAATCATGCAGATTCCTCGTACCAAAATAGCCGGCTTGTCTGAAAAACATCTTGTCTGCAGCCTAAAAAGCGGCTGTTCAGTCATACTCCAGTTCCATTGGTAATCACATTGTACCAGCAGGCTCATTCGCAATGAATCTACAGGTTAATGTTGAACCACATCATAGACCGGTGTTCTCATTTGGCTTTTTTACCTGTCTGCTGAGACATGGAAAATGTAAAGATTGGCAGGCATATTGACAGTTTTGAAGTGTGAGTAACTGTGATGTAGGTCAAGTTCTGCCACATCCAAATTCGGAATGGAGAGGCGTTTATTTGGATTTTTTATTATTTACTGGGGGTAATTGCTCACTAACTAATAAGACTTACACATGCAAAATATAAAGTAGAATGTTAATTCTTAAACTTTGTTGGAGAAATATATTTGTTTAGCATTTTAAAAATTATTTCTACAACCTGTCACCCCTACAATAGAAATGGCATGTTTGATTTCCAAGAAATGACCTCTTGCCGATTTCCAAGAATTGACTTGGGGTCAGTCCAAACAGTGCACAGAACACCTGTCTTTGGACTAAGTTTGGAGGGTTATTTGTCAACTTCTTTTTGAAAAACTATGTGTTTTGAACACTTATTTTGAACTACTCAAGACTATGTTTTTTTTAGAACTTTAGTAATATTTGTTTTTCATATATAACTACCTGTGATCACTTTTCGGAATGTTCTAAGATTGTGGACCTTCGTACCTTGTGTTGTTATGCATGCAAGAGAGCACTGTTTGTTGCCGTCACAGTAGAATGGAGATAAACCTACTTTGTTTTGAAATTTGATGTAGTCCCACTGTAGAGTAGATACCTCTTATTTTAATTTGGAACTGAGCGCTTTAGCGGTACCTACTTCAAATCAAATTTCAAAACACAGTAGGTTTATCTCCAAATAAATACTATCAGGACTATAACAGTTATCAAGTTAAAATATTGTGTCAATACCAGACCAATTCTGCAGTAAAATTATGGGGTAAATTCTGCAGTAAAAACAACCGTTTCCCCCTCAAAACTTAAAAATGCTATCTGATGCAAAATCGCAAAAACACAACCACGTGAGAGAGCCTTGCACTGAAACACACAACATGACATGCACGTACAACATCACTTGTCGGGCTATAAGAAACGTTGGGTTTTCCGTAGGATATCAGCCCAAACATTGAGGAACCATTTATGCACTGATGGTATTCACGCTTGACAACCAGTTCGAATAATCAATTTGACAGACCTGCATCATCGGCTGCGACGTCAGTGGTGTCAAGGTCACAGAGTAGGGCCAAAACTGTGATGGAGCACAGACTTAGTGCAAGTTGTTGGGAATTTAACAGCACAAAGCTACACAGATGAGATTCTTCGGCCACACGTCCCATTATAGGTCAACAGGACAACGCCCGACCTCACACAGCAAAACTAACGACAGCCTGTTTCAGTTATGACAACATCCAGGCTTTGCCATGGCCCTCCAGGTCCCCAGATTTAAACCAAACTGAACATTTATGGGATGCACTGGATCCACAACTACGGGCATGTCAGCAACAACCATAGAACATCCAACAGGTGGCACAAACACTGCAGGCAGAGTGGATGAACATTTTGCAGCTCACAATTCAGGATCTGATTGCTTCCATGGGACCACGATGCCAGTCAGTTTTGGAATGTAATGGTGGCCATACAAGATATTGAGAACAGATGACCTTGAAAATCTACTGGTCCACCTGTGCCCTATGAAACCTGATTCAATAACAATGATGTGTGCCAATTTTGAACAACTAATTACCATCTGTTGATTATTTATATGGTATATAAAATATACATCTAAAATCACTTTTGCGGGGTTTTTTTGCACAGTATAGTTCATGTGGTTTGTTTGGATTTTACTATAGGATTCATATTAGTAAAGCTTAAAAATAAAATGTAAATGTAAAGATGTAAATTAGTGTATTGATTGAAAAAAGAAGACAAATCTCACCAGTTTACTGTAGTTCTGCGGTAAGTTATGTTTTCTGCAAATATTTTCACAGAATTTGTCTGAAACTGATTATGTAGATGTTTATGGTTATAAGCTTAAATTTTAACATCGTTAACTAGTGGTGGGACGATACACTGATACATCGGTGGATCACGATTTATTTACTTCTCGTAACAAGTATCGATCACAGTCGCACACTCAGTAAAAAGTATCAATTCCTACCTTAAATGTTTTCTTGAATAAGTGTTACACCAAACACTAATTACAAGTGAAAATGAGTAGTGAAAACATATATGTTTTCATCCATTGTGCCATACCTGACACTGCCAACTGTTAATCATTAGTGTGCCAGGTATTTGGCAATACAGTCAATGAAAAAAATGGCTTACGCGCCACAGTTAAGTGCACATGCAAGTATAGCGATACGTATCATATCGTGAACAAGGTATCGTGATACATATCACACAGTTGGTGTATCGTCCCAGCCCTATTGTTAACTATATATGTGCTCTCTCATTTTACAGGAACTAAAAAACAATGGCTATGAAGCAGTGAGCATTCCAGTGTTGTCATTTACATTTGTCAACTCGGATCAGTTGAAGACACATCTACAGAACCTAAGTGACTTCTCAGCCATCATTCTCACAAGTCCACGAGCAGTGGAAGCAGTGGTCAAGGCGTCCGAGGCCATTGCAGGTAGCCTGTACTCCCATGTAAAGGAGCTCTTCCATGTTGTATAGCTGGCATTGCAGGTAGCCTGTACTCCCATATAGTAGAGCAGGTAGCCTGTACTCCCATGTAGTAGAGCAGGTAGCCTGTACTCCCATGTAGTAGAGCTGGCATTGCAGGTAGCCTGTACTCCCATATAGTAGAGCAGGTAGCCTGTACTCCCATGTAGTAGAGCAGGTAGCCTGTACTCCCATGTAGTAGAGCAGGTAGCCTGTACTCCCATGTAAAGGAGCTCTTCCATGTTGTATAGCTGGCATTGCAGGTAGCCTGTACTCCCATATAGTAGAGCTGGTAGCCTGTACTCCCATGTAGTAGAGCTGGTAGCCTGTAGTCCCATGTAGTAGAGCAGGTAGCCTGTACTCCTATGTAGTAGAGCTGGCATTGCAGGTAGCCTGTACTCCCATATAGTAGAGCAGGTAGCCTGTACTCCCATGTAGTAGAGCAGGTAGCCTGTAGTCCCATGTAGTAGAGCAGGTAGCCTGTACTCCCATGTAGTAGAGCAGGTAGCCTGTAGTCCCATGTAGTAGAGCAGGTAGCCTGTACTCCCATGTAGTAGAGCAGGTAGCCTGTACTCCCATGTAGTAGAGCTGGCATTGCAGGTAGCCTGTACTCCCATATAGTAGAGCAGGTAGCCTGTACTCCCATGTAGTAGAGCAGGTAGCCTGTAGTCCCATGTAGTAGAGCAGGTAGCCTGTACTCCCATGTAAAGGAGCTCTTCCATGTTGTATAGCTGGCATTGCAGGTAGCCTGTACTCCCATATAGTAGAGCAGGTAGCCTGTAGTCCCATGTAGTAGAGCAGGTAGCCTGTACTCCCATGTAGTAGAGCAGGTAGCCTGTACTCCCATGTAGTAGAGCAGGTAGCCTGTAGTCCCATATAGTAGAGCAGGTAGCCTGTAGTCCCATGTAGTAGAGCAGGTAGCCTGTACTCCCATGTAGTAGAGCTGGCATTGCAGGTAGCCTGTACTCCCATGTAGTAGAGCTGGTAGCCTGTACTCCCATGTAGTAGAGCAGGTAGCCTGTAGTCCCATGTAGTAGAGCAGGTAGCCTGTACTCCCATGTAGTAGAGCAGGTAGCCTGTACTCCCATGTAGTAGAGCTGGCATTGCAGGAAGCCTGTACTCCCATGTAGTAGAGCAGGTAGTTACTCCCATGTTGTATAGCTGGCATTGCAGGTAGCCTGTACTCCCATGTAGTAGAGCTGGTAGCCTGTACTCCCATGTAGTAGAGCAGGTAGCCTGTAGTCCCATGTAGTAGAGCAGGTAGCCTGTACTCCCATGTAGTAGAGCAGGTAGCCTGTACTCCCATGTAGTAGAGCTGGCATTGCAGGAAGCCTGTACTCCCATGTAGTAGAGCAGGTAGTTACTCCCATGTTGTATAGCTGGCATTGCAGGTAGCCTGTACTCCCATGTAGTAGAGCTGGTAGCCTGTACTCCCATGTAGTAGAGCTGGTAGCCTGTACTCCCATGTAGTAGAGCAGGTAGCCTGTACTCCCATGTAGTAGAGCAGGTAGCCTGTACTCCCATGTAGTAGAGCAGGTAGCCTGTACTCCCCATGTAGTAGAGCCGGTAGCCTGTACTCCCATGTAGTAGAGCAGGTAGCCTGTACTCCCATGTAGTAGAGCAGGTAGCCTGTACTCCCATGTAGTAGAGCAGGTAGCCTGTGCTCCCATGTAGTAGAGCAGGTAGCCTGTACTCCCATGTAGTAGAGCTGGTAGCCTGTACTCCCATGTAGTAGAGCAGGTAGTCTGTACTCCCATGTAGTAGAGCAGGTAGCCTGTACTCCCATGTAGTAGAGCAGGTAGCCTGTACTCCTATGTAGTAGAGCAGGTAGCCTGTACTCCCATGTAGTAGAGCAGGTAGCCTGTACTCCCATGTAGTAGAGCAGGTAGCCTGTACTCCCATGTAGTAGAGCAGGTAGCCTGTACTCCCATGTAGTAGAGCAGGTAGCCTGTACTCCCATGTAGTAGAGCAGGTAGCCTGTACTCCCATGTAGTAGAGCAGGTAGCCTGTACTCCCATGTAGTAGAGCTGGTAGCCTGTACTCCCATGTAGTAGAGCAGGTAGCCTGTACTCCCATGTAGTAGAGCAGGTAGCCTGTACTCCCATGTAGTAGAGCAGGTAGTCCGTGCTCCCATGTAGTAGAGCAGGTAGCCTGTACTCCCATGTAGTAGAGCTGGTAGCCTGTACTCCCATGTAGTAGAGCAGGTAGCCTGTACTCCCATGTAGTAGAGCAGGTAGAGCTGGTAGCCTGTACTCCCAGTATCAAACCTATCTTTTGTTTCCAAATTAATTGAATGTGCAGATGGTGAAAGATTGTCTAAGCAACTGTGAAGCAACAATCTCTATGAGTCTTACCAGTCTGCATATCATTCCAATCACAGCAATGAGACAGCTCAAATCAAGTTTCTCAACGACTTAAGAATTGGTATAGACAACAAGAACGTTGGTTTACTGGTTCTGTTAGATTGAAATGTGGCTTTTGATACCATTGACCATGACAGTTTTCTTACAAGCCTCAGAAATGAATTCAGGATTGATGGAATAGCATAGCATTGGTTCAAGTTGAATCTTTCATCTCGATATCAAACTGTTCTTATCGATGCATCACTGTCTGAGAAAGAGCTGCTCAAGTGTGGTCCTACAAGGTTGTGTGCTTGGACCAGTATTATTCACATTTTACTCTAAGGAATTAGGTACAGTAATTGATAAGCACCAGATTAGTCGTCATTTCTATGCTGATGACACACAGCTAAATGATGTCTTCAGACCCACACCATCAGATGAAATGCAGTATTGTTGCTACTCGGCAAATGCTGCAGTGACATTAAGTAATGGATGTGTGAAGACAAGTTGAAGCTTGACAGTAAAACAGAGAGTCTATTTGTTGGTAGGAAGGGTCTAAGAGCGAAATGTGGCACTGAATCATTTCAGTTCAATGACACTACCATTCCCCTGGCAGCAGGTGTATGAAATCTTGGTGCTACCCTAGATCCGAAATTGTCTCTCAACAATCATGTCAACGATGTGGTTAGAACCTGTATTCTGATTCTAAGGAACATAGGGCACATCCGCAAATTTCTTACTCAGTAGTCATCTATCATACTTGTCTTGTCTTTAGTTATGACAAGGTTGGACTACTGTAATAGCTTGCTGGTGGGTGCAGCAAGATCCCAGCTGAACAAGTTACGGGTGCAGAACACAGTTGCCAGAATAGTACTCACTCTAGCAAGTTTGACCATATCACTTCAATGTTATACCGCCTGCATTGACTTCCAGTTGAACATTCAAGCTTCTCTGTTATGTCTTCACCATCCTATCTTGCTGATCTCCTACATATATATACTGAAACACAAAAATCCATCACCATGGATAGATAGATAGATATATGAGACACCTTATTTGTCCAAACACTGTAAACATACTTTGAGACATATTAAAAAGATGAAATTTTGCAAAACCGATCATCAAGGTGTCAAATGTTCTTAAAGTGAAACACAACACTAGTCTCTGAGAAAATGGCATCACAAGTCAGTATCTCATGTGTCTGCCATGTGCATTGATGACTGCCGTGCAACATCGATACATGGAATGGATGAGGCGGTTGATGAAGGCAATAGGCATTTGAGCCCAAACTCTGAGGAACGCCTGACGCAGTACAGCTGCAGTTGTCGGGGTTGGGAGGACGTCATTCAGCCATCTTTGAATCTCGTCCCACAGGTGCTAAATGAAATTTAAATCGGGACTGAGGGTAGGCCACTGCATGATTCTGATGCCATTCTGCTGGAGGAGGTCTCTTGTTGTTCTCGCAGTGCAGGCATGGGCGTAATCATGCTGAAACTCGTGGTTGCGGCGACGTGCCAAATGAGGTCTGGCGTGTGGTCTCAAGACTTGATCAATGTACTGAGCTGCTGTGACACCATTGCCTCTCCCTGGACCGATGTTCTCGAAGACCACAGAGCCGACCCTCTGTGCAATACCACTTCCACTCCACACCATGATGCTCTGACCACCCCACGAGTCTCTCTCAACAACACAAGCATGCTGGTGCTGTGTTGCCCACTGAAGACAGTCTCGGCAATGATGTGGTGTCAGAATGGGTTCACTGTGTGGCCTGTGACAGTGGGGGTGTCTGCTCGTCAATCGTCGATGCAAGGTGACCGCAGTAATGTGTCGCTGGTGTGTCCGCATGGTCTGTTGAGCAGTTTCCGCAGCAGTAACAAAGCGATCTCGAAGATGCTGTCGCACAATCTCACGATCCTGACGTCGCCATACGAATGGACTGTTATTATTATTATTATTATTATTGGTAGAATTTTAAACATTTTTGTGGGGTATTGCAGCCTTGGAGACATTCTTGGGTGCCGGTAATATCCATCCCTGTTAAAAAAAAAACCACATAGAAAGAGGCCAGCTTTAAAGGGTAAATTAAACTGTTTGAATAGGTATTTTGTATTTTGCTTTTAAAACAGTGTCTTATTACTTCTCACTTTCAAGGATATTCGTTTCTGTTTTCAGCAATTTGGATGATAACTGAATGAATAAATTCAGTCAAATTAATATCCTGTACAGCTAATACCTAAGTATTCACATTAGATTTGAAACCCTGGTTGTGACATCATCCAATGCACCTTGGCAGTCCGTGCAAACATATCTTTCCAGTCTATACTTACCCCGACTCGTCCGTCCATATCCTTGTCATTGCAACAATAGAAATTGGCACCAATCCTATAGTCTCTGCCAAACTGCCCAAAAGTTGAGGTATCATGAGGACAGGTGGAAACTTGCCATTTTTAAGGGTTTTGCTTTATGTTATCATCAGAACTAGTGGAATAAACATGTTAGCTTCTATCATGCATTAGATTCTAAATCTTACATATGGGCTGTCATAGTGGCTCTGTATAAGCTTCCTGACCCCAGTGAAATTTCACCAGACTAGTGGCAAAATTTGAAATCAAGAAATAAATTTGGTTCATCTCTTCCTTTATAATTAGTAAGTCAGACCTTGATGGGGTTTTCTGATACGTCTGAAACAGCTGTGACCAGACAATAACATATGACTTATGATCTTGAGGATTTGATGTCTAGCTTATCACCACAAAGTTGCTAATTGTAGCAATGGATTGTTTCTTTCAGATAAGGGAAAGAAATTCAGTGACATGAAGTGCTATGTGGTTGGAAAAGCTACTGGTGTTTTAGGTGAGCTTATTTACATGAGGTTACAAACTACAAATGAATATTGTAACAGAACTATTATGAACTATTTAAAATCTTATTCTGAGGTCTAATAGCACTTTTAATGTATGGAAGGAAGGTAATTCAATTGACTATAACTATCATATAAGTTAAGTTAAGTTTGAAACAAATGGTTGATAATAAATAGCCATGTTGATGAGTTGTCTGTTGTGACCATTCTAATATTTGTGTCTACTTTTGATAGTGATTGATCTCTTGAAATAACTGTATGACTATTTGGAAAATATGATATAGACCACTTGACATCCGACATGCACATCAGCCATTCTTGAATGTCCAAGGCATCCATGTGGATGGTTACCCTGGGACACTCAAACAAGAGTAGTGGAACTTCGTTTAACCCCTGTAACAGTCAAACCAGATAGGTGGAATTCAACTTCTATGACAAACTAAGTTATTGGTATGTAGAATGTCTTATGTTGTGTTTCAGCTAAGAAAGCAGGATTCACCACAACAGGAGAGGACTCAGGCAGTGCGACAGAGCTTGCAAAAGTTATCTCAGCTGGTACTGCATTTATCTATGGACATATTTGAACTTGGCTTACACGATTATTTGACTGGATTGAGCATGTGTTTTCCAAACAGGAAGTGAAATCATTAAACTCATAGCTTGTTATTACGGTAGCAGTGTGCACTTGACTTTCTGTTTGAGTATTTAACTGTGTTGGATGTATCTTTTCCTCTGTGTTTACCTTTGTATGATGACCTCAATGACCTAATGTTGCAAATATTCCAGAAAGAAGGCATGTGTGTTACTGAGCTTCAAAGTGAGAGGGGAGAAAGGAATGGGTGTTTTCCATCCCTCTTCCGTCCGTCTGTCTGTCTCATTTCGAGCAGAACTCGGAAAATGTTAGATTGTTTATTATGAAACTTTGCAAATATATCACATACATGCTGAACTGGTGCCTTTGATGTTTTTGTATTTCTAAAAAAAGGTTTCGGTGTGTTTTCCTGGCAACAAACTTGACTAAGATATAAATATGTGTTGCATTCATATCTGGAGCATAACTTTCAACCATTTAATATTTTAAATGAAACTTTGCATAAGTATCAAACACGTGCTGAACTGGTGCCTATTGATGTTTTGGTATATCTAAGAAAAGATATTTTTTGTGTTTACTTTATACATTATGTCTACAATAGGGACAACTAATCTCAGATACTACTGAAGTTACATGAATGAAACTTTGGAAGCCTGCCTGAGAGATAATTATAAAGACTGAGTTTAAAACTTGCTGCCATAAATATTATTTTTTCCAGAGTTATGTCCCTTGCTACATGTATTTTTACAGAGTTTAGGCCCTGACTCATGCTTTTCAATATTAATTTCTTCCATATGAATAAACAAAATCCTAATGTGCCTAATGTGTGTGTGTGTGTGTGTGTGTTTTTTTGGGGGGGTGAATGGTAAGGCTGTTTTCATGTTTTATGTGTTTGAAAAAAATTATCACCCACCACCACAAAGATTATAGGAATGAGTGATATCCATCTGTCCTTCCATCCATCCCATTTTGTGACTTGATCATAGCTTAATGATCAAACTTTGCACAGTTATCAGTCCAAACTTGAGCTGGTGCCATTTTTTATTTAATGTTATAAATTTTTACTTGTTCATTTTGTTCTGGTTTCCATGACAACAAATGGGCCATAGATTCAAATGAGGGTATGTGGTAGGTTTAATTTCAGGAAGAGAACTCAGATTGCACAGGTATCATTCTAATCAAAAACTTGTGCCAATTGCTGTTAGGGAATTTTGGAAAACACAATAAAGGTTTCATTTGAGGGCATATTCCTTGAACTATTTGTATTTCCTCACTATCCATCAAATTGTCAACTGTTGACTTTTGTTTTTCTTGAATTTATCTTTTGCTTATTTTCTAAATCAATCGAAACAAATTGAAACCCCTTGTATCTCTGATTATAGCCACTGCATTCAGTGATCTTCTCAATTTAACGCCACCCTTCTGAGATGGCTAAATTAACCAGTCACCTAGCAGCATGTTTATCAGTTTATGATTCAGTGTTATTGACTCTTCAGAACAAGTAGATGCCTGTATGGTTTATTGTATAGAGCATCTGCCTGGAGAGCGGAAGGTCGGTGATCTAAGAGATGCTATTTGTTGTTACCCCGCTTGGCGTCCAGTATAAAAGAGGATAAAGTGAGGACAAAAGCCACACACACATGCATGCAGGTCGCTATATAAGTGCAATAGTATTAAACACCAAGTTATCCCCCTTTCACCTTACCTCACTTTTAGAACAAGTCTTGGGCAGCTATTTGGTCTATACACTCGATAGAACACCTTTGTTGAGTGATATCACTATGTGATGCTTGTTTATGACATACATTGTCAGTCCACTATGATGTGGATTGGTGTTGATAGGCTAATGTGTTGCCCTTCTCTGATGCAGGTCCCTCTCAAGATGGCAAACCATTCCTGTACCCCTGTTCTGACATCCGCAGAGATGTGCTGGTGCAACACCTGAAGGAGAAAGGTAGCTGCTCATTGTGTTCCTTGAATACATTCAGCTTTGTACAATCTCATGTAGCAGAGAGTTGGCTTGGAAAGTTTGTACAAATCCACATGTAACCCTTAATTGTGTAGAATTGATGTTAGGTTTTACAGAACAGGTATAATGTATTGCCAAACTAGACAGTTTACATTTTCTTTTGTCCCCTGGAAACAGTTAAGCCATTGCTGTGTTCATGGCTTGACAAGGAAACTTCCTAGTTTTTGAAAGTTGGTTTGTTTCTTGTTTAACGCCGCACTCAGCAATATTCCAGCTTTGTCACGGGGGTCTGTAAATCCAGTGATTGATATCATAAGCATCAGTTTATGCATTTGGTATATGATGATATGCATCGACCCAGTCAGGGAGCCTGACGACTCCTCTCGTCAGTCGCCTCTTATGACAAGCATAGTCACCTTTTACGGCAAGCATTGGTTGCTGAAGACCTATTCTAACCTGAATCTTCACGGGTTTGTCTGCTTTAACAGATATCCAAACCTAATAACTAACATAATTCGGATCTTCATGGGTGTTTTTGAAAATGGTTATGTTATACACATTAGCTGAGTAATTTATGCTAAAAAGAAATATAAGTAACATGAGGACACATTGAACATTTATTCCTTTGGTTCTGATAAGCTTGTCATGGTACACACTTAGTTAATTAGTTTGTGGGTTCACTCCTATTATGACAAGAAAACAAAAGGGGTAAAATGAGTCTATCTATAGAATAATGGACTACTTCATTTGACATTTGTACTCTGCCCATATTTACATGAACAATGTTTCATGAGAGATGTAGCTATGTTTGATGTATTATTTGTTCTTATAATTATTTCTTATCCTGTTAAGACAGTCTGCAATTTCCTACTCATTCTTACTTATTCTTACTTGTTCCCGAATCCTGTAACAAAGCATCAAAACACTCCCATACTGGTAGTCACCACCGTGTATGTCCCCTCATGCCATGCAACTTCCTCTTCCTACTCTGTTGTTTGGTTTTTCTTAGGGGTCACTTTGGTTGGTAATTGTACTTTTGCTCACGTGCCTTTTTCAATTCTTCTAATGTTTCACCAGTCTTTTGCCTTTGCTGTTCTTTTTTTGTGCTTATTTGATATCTGGCTATTATGCATTTGTCTCTTTTTCCATATGCTTCAGTGCTTGGCAATAGCCATTTGTTCACGTGCCATTCAACTCTTGTCGTATTTCCGTCTTTTTTCAATTAGGCTTTGATTATTGCCTTGTCGTTTTTGCAATTACCCCTAAAAATTTATATCTGGCTATTTATGCAAGTTTTGTCCCTTTTGTGAAATTCACATATTTTTCTGTTTGCTTCAGTGATTGACAATGGCGGACACTGAACTTTTCCTTCAGGCGTCTGGCTCTGAGTTGGATGCCGACATACCTGGATTTTTTTCTGTCTGGGGGCTGCCAACGTGAATGAAGTCTACGGTATCAGTCCCTTCTCCATCTACCGCAGGGGTTCTGAGGCAGTTCTTCCACTTTATGTTGGAGCAATTTTCGATGTGTGGTGGCTGGGAGCAGCTACAGACAGAGGAATTGTCGAGACGTCCACAATCACCTGGTCATCAGTTGCAGCCTAATGAACTACTGCCTGATGGGTTGCAGTCCAGTGTGCTGTCGGGACTTTTTCCATCGTCTCCTGGCCGGCTATTACAGCCTGAGGAGTGGCGGAAGTCCAGCGAGCTTTCTGAGCAGTTATTGTTGTCATGTGGGAATCTATTGCAGTCTGAGTTGTGGCAGTGCATTGTGTTTGGCCATGTGGTCATCATTTGCAGCATGTGGAGTGGTCTCAGCCTGATGTGTCCCCTGAACATCACATGGTGTCTGAGGGTCGCTGGTCTTGTCAGGGTCCTTTTAATAGGTTGCCAGATCATTGCAGCTCATCTGATTGGGCTCCACATTGTAAATCGTCATTCGCCTCCTACTTGGTCACAGGATCCACATCACCAATCCAGAGCTGACAGTCGGGGGACAGCTGGAGTTTGGTGGGTGACAGGAGGTTTTTTACGTCTGCAGATAACAGGATGGTGATTGTGGTAGGTGTTGCTTTCCCGATGTGTCACCTCTTCGTAGAGTGGGTCATCAGTCAAGAGTGGTCAGTCCCCTTCGGATGGTGATCATGACATAGGACTACAAAAGGTTCAAGACTGTATCTTTAGGTGGCGGAGTTTGTCCAGTTGGAGTCAATGGATCATGTGAAGCCAAAGAGGTTCATTTTGATATTATGGAGGAGATACTGACTCAGTCCACCTTTCTTGGTATCACCGGCAAAGTTCCTGCTGTAAGTTCCTGAACTTTTGGATTCGCCTTTTGCGTCATTGTTTATAGCAGTATCATTGGACAGGACCAGGGCCTCTTCAACCAGATACCTGCTGCATGACTTCTCTTTCATTTCAGTTTCTTCATCAGTGCATCGCCCATGATGGGGTCATTGACAGTGATTTGTCTGTTGGAGTTAATCACAGAGTCATCTTGGGATTGGCTCTTTCAGCTGCCGTTGCCTCATCAGCCATTGTCTTCCTCTACACTTCTCATTTGCCAGAATTGGACGTTCACCGAGTCTTACTTACAGAGGCACAAGTAGAGGCCTCGATGATGGTTTTGCAGGTGGACCAATGTGTCCGTGAGCAGGCATTAAGGAAAAGCGCTGTTTACAACGTGATCCCCTCGGCCCTCCTATAGAGAGAAGGGAAGGTTACAGAGAGGATCCCAGGGTCTTACTTTTCAACTTTCCCAGAAGTGATTGCTTTATCGTCGTTAGGACTTGGGTCATGGTCCCCTGAAAGTACCCCTGGACTGGTAGGTGGCAGCCTTCATCTATTGTTGGAGACAGTTGCTCCATTACCTTATCCCACTGAGATGTTTTGTTTTCATTTTCGGAGTACCATGACTACCTCCTCTGTAACTCTCCACAACACGGTCATCTATTGTTCTCCAGGAGTACTTTGGATTCCTGGTTCAGAATTCTTAATCTGGTGGCATATGAACATGCTGGTCTACTGCCACCTTGAGATCACGACTCTTTTGGTTCAGACATCTACGCCGGCTCTGCACACCAACTGTTAGGTAACAGTTCTTGTCTGGGGTTGACACTGGCCTACCGACATTACCTTCACCAACCTGTAATCTGGGACATCTCAGATGAGGACGTCAATGGTTTACACCAGTGGTATACACTGTTTTGTGTGCACAACAACTCACTTATCCTAGAAGGAGTTGTTACCATCTCTCGCTGCACTCGGTTTATACCTTTCATGGCTTATCTGGGCGAGTTGATAGGGATTATTTACTGAGTTAGGGCTGTGGTGTGTACTTGATAACAACCCCGAGTCTCATTGTAGTGCCTACCGTTTGTTACATCTCTACTCCCTAGTACACTGGTACAGGGGGTTTAGATGGAGACTAGTGAAGAACGCCTTACAGTTGGACCTCGGATGAAGATAGTCTAGTCTGTAACATTCGGCAGTCAACACCTGGGTTTCTGTTTGCAGTTTCGACAGTTCCCACCTCCTGCTAAGACTAGTTTCGAGGACCGCCCTTCCATCCCTGTCATGGTCACTTTGTATGGTGTTCGAAGTAGGAAGAGGAAGTTGCATGGCATGAGGGGAGCATGGGCGGTGGTGACTACCAGTGGAGGAGTGTTTTAGCACTGTGTTATAGGATTCAGGAAAAAGTAAAAACAAGTAGAAAATTGCAGGTTAAGTATCTAATATCATTAATATTAGATTACTGTAATTCTTTATTTTCACAAAATTCACAGAGAAATTTCTGAATTTGAAAGTACAAACATAATTGAAGGATTGGAAGAGCCGATATTATGCAGATTTCAGAAGGCAGGAAAGATACTGGTTTCTTACACACCTGTGGGTGAGAAACCCATTTGAGATAACTAGTATCAAACATATGTGTGAGATCAAATTCCAGGCCAGTGATTGGTTACTCTATGGTGATGACCTGAGGTCAGATTATGACGGATTACTTTCCAGATAAGTCATTGATAAGTTGCTCGTGCTTCAGTCGAATGTCCATCTACGTCAGTGTTGAACATAATGGTTTTAGAGTGTTAATAGAATGATAAATTTCCGTGTTATGGGTTTTCGGACGCTTAAGAAACATTCGCTAATCACAAGAACTGTGAAATATCTCATTCACTTATCAAAGACAGTTTTATCTTGAAAATCAAGCCATTTACAATGTCTGTTGACACCACAACCCTCATAGCAGGAGTAATTCGCGAAAAACATGGCCGTCTGAAAACGTATGATGTCCGAAAATATGTGATCCGACGATATATATGTCTCTCCTCTTCAACACTCACTTCGCAGTCTACTAAAATTCGAAATACTAAAAGCACACTAAAAGTTTTGAATTCTGTTGGAAATTTCCTGTTCTGTGATATCATCCATCATTTTCATCAAAGCAAAATTACTGTGTGTTTAGAAATCTAAATATCGGATATTTAGTCAAAGGATTGAATTTCAAAAATAGCACATTAGTGATCACGGGAATCTGTTTTTCACCAAAACACCAATGATAATTCTGAAAATTCGCCAAGGAACCTGGAATCGTTTAGAATGTTTTGGAAAATACGCAAACTACGAACGCCGAAATTCACTTTCCAACATATTGGATAGTGTTTACAAATCACGTTTCACATGTGCGGGTTATGAGACGCCTATTAAATCACTTACATTTCAAACTCAGCTGCCATACATGCATCCCTGAATTCCTCATACATTTTAGAATCAAATGACAAATGGTCTTTCTCATTAATACAAAATTATCGAGATGTCATCAAGCGAAATAAATTAGGTGTGGAAACGAACATTGTGCTCGGGAAAACTACTTGTTGAAATGTAAACAAAGCAAAATTCAGATCTTACACTCTCCCATTTTTTAGAGATCATTGTTGCATACATTGGCTGAAGCATTTGAGAATATTCGTGGGAAGAGTATCGTAGCACAAATTATGGAATTAAAAATAAATACATTACAATGATCAGGTAAATTCAACAGAAATCGTAAAAGTTTCCGTCCTGTGTGACGCCACGACTGGCGTAAAGGCATGCACAACGATAACGGTAGTTATCTGCATTTCTGACAAATTCTCTTGGTTAGATTGGAAAACATAAAAACAAATAACAGTACGCAGTTTGTCTGACTGTTTCTGATTACTTACATGACACATTTATGTATAGACCATCCCTCAATCAACGAAAATCCTCCTCTGAAAATCCCGAGTAGTGTTGTCAGTGAACACACCATTTTGTAGAAGTCAGTCACTGGCACTGATGTCATAAGGTAGTAAACATTGTTGTACATATTTGGTAATTTCTTTGAGGTGAATTTTTTAACTGTGCATCATGTGGGTTCTCTGATCTTATCTAGTTTGCACTATCATCATCGCCAAACGTTTTTAGGTTTAGGTGTAGGGTCACATTATTTGTGAATAGTAAGCAGTATGTTGGAGAACCGTTGTTTTAAGTATTAATGCGCCACTGCAATCATGAGAACAGACAAAATGCAACGATTCGATGCTAAAAAGATGAAATTTTAGGGTGTGTAAGAAACATTACTACACTCGTGCCTGTCAGATACCATTTTTATCTTACAACTCTTTGTTTCAAAGCATATCTAACTCACTTTCGCTCGTTAGATACGTTTTGTAGGATAAATGGTGTCTGACAGGCACGAGCGTAGTAATCTCTATTTCACATGAATGTTGGAGATTTAAAATGGTATATATAAACTCCAGACAGTTCTGTGAAATTAGTTGTCCCAAACTTCTTATTAAGCAGCCTCTGACTTGTTGTGAGACACACTTGCTCCGATTTACCTGATGTGAGTAAATGTTGTATGTTCTTTTATAGCCATGTATACACAAGCAAGCTGGAATTAAGTGTTGTGCTGAACACCACTATATCATATGTCTAAATGACCATTGATGGTTACAAATGTGTACAAGGCAACTGATAAATGTTTTTTCCTGTGTAGATTTAGCTGTTGAGGAGATCACAGTGTATAACACAAACCCCAATGACGCCCTAGAGAGCAGTGTCAAGGGGGTTCTGCATAACCAGGTATTGTTGTGTGTGTTTATACTCGCCAGTAATGTGGTAGGTGGTGTTCACATTTACTAATAATCTGTTTGTTGCAACACTAGTTAGCTAAAATGTCCATAGACCAATACAGCTTATTCAATGGCATGGCATCTGTCCTATCACCATGTACATTTTAATTTTTCCTATCTCAAACAAATATCAATGAACTTTTACAATATATGGGTTTCTATAAGTCCTCATAAGAGAAAGGTTGAATAGTAGGTAATTGGAAGATCTATGGTAACATGACTTGCATTGACAAGAATCTGGGTTCTTGATTAAAACATTAATTATTATCATAATAATAATGATTTTATCAAGTTTGATATTTAGATGGTCGCTCAGACAGACAGGTCAAATTCAATCCTCCTTTCATGTCAGTCAGTCTTAACAGAATGACAAAGATGTCTTGTTTTTGAACAATTGTTGATAAGTTTCAAGAAAACTTAAGTTTTTCATATGTCATTCACTTTTAAGAGGATATGCATGTATTAAGCATGGCAGGTGTGGAGTGTTTATGGATTATATTGTGTGTTTAGCAGCAGTGTGCATTATTACGGTCCTGATAGCAAGATAGCTGAGGTCCAACAACATATGACAAATGAGGATGAATTTGGACAAGAACTGTGACAAATATTCATGGATTGAAATATGTAGAAACTTAAGTTAATTGGTCAGTAGATGCATATTTAGGGCAGGGATCGATTTAGCTAAGTAAAACATTCATCAGTGCAACCTTTTCCTGAAATGTGCAGCCTGATACTTAAGTCTACCTTATGCAAGTTAAATCAAGTTCCTTAACTCAAGCCCTGTAGGGACCCACACCGACACACAGTTGAGCACATTTGTTAAAGTATATCCAGTACTGTTTTCATCCAACAGGACATGTTCAATGGTAATCTGATTATAAAACATGTAAGGTGGGGGTCACCTTTTCAGCCGAAATGGCTCTAATGAAGCAGGATTATTAAAACTTAATTAAAAATGTATTTTCTGGCAGGGTTTGCCTGAGTTTGCTGTATTCTTCAGTCCTTCTGGTGTCCAGTACACAGAGCCATTGGTGAAGAAAGGACTATTGCCACTTGACAAAATAAAAGTAAGTAATTTCTTCCTCAAAGAATTCATGTGTAGTCTATTTGTCAACCTTTGCACCATGGCATCCTTGTTCTGGGTGTCATCATGGTGGACTGTCTTCCAAAGGGCCAGGCAATAAAGGGAGTATTTATTATCCTGCACTTTGAGCTGAGAAGATGTGTGCTCTTCCATCAGGACAATGTGCCAGTGTACACATCGGTCATTGCCATGGCTACACCCCTCGGCTTTGAACTCCTTCAGCACTCGCCTCATTCTCCTGATCTGGCTCTGTCAGACTTCCATCTGCTCCTAGACATGTAGAAAGCTCTTACTGGAACCTATTTCGACTCAAATATTGCCGTCATATGGAGAACGTTTTGGACAGTGAAGAAGAGTGTATCAATGCTGGAGGGGATTATGTTGAAAAATACATCATTTTAATGTCTTTGGGTCAAGTGTGAGTCCCAGAACTTATCAATCACCTCTCCCACTTTACCCTTGCCAGGATCTGATAATTACCAGTTCAAATCACAAATTTGCCATGGTTTTGTTTGCACCATACCCGAACCTTTTATTATGTTCGAAAAGTTATAAATACATTGTTAAATGTGTAGATTTCTATATCGACATACAAACTTGATCATTATGAACAATTTGTTGTAATCTCAAATTGGTATGCCTGTAAAGTCTGAAAACATGTTATTTTCTAGAACATTCCGATGTAATAATAAAGTTGTGTGAGTAGAAGGTAGGAGTAGTGTTAGTGGCATGTAAAGGTGACTCCCCATCATGACAAGCTTGTCTGTGTCAGGTGATAGCCCTGGGCCCTGCCACTAAGCTGGAGGTGGAAGCTCGAGGTGTCACTCTCCATGGTGTCACAGCCAAGCCAGAACCAACCAGTCTTGTTACACTGCTCAAACAGGTATGTAACACACAGATACAAATATAATCCTAACACAGTGTTCTTCAGGAAACATAAGGCTGTGTTTGAAACAATATGTTTTATAGATTACCGGGGTAAGTTTGTCCATCGATCCAGTTATCATCATCATCTCCCAGTAGTTCAAGTGAGCATATGTTGGGATGCATTGTCTGTCCAACTGACTAACTGTTTATAAATGACAGACATTTGCTTTTACATCTCCAACATCACCCCTGAAACTGAGAGCTGCCATTATAGCAAAATGTGTTTATGTCTATTACTGTGCCATTTGTTACCAAAATGTAATTAATTCTGTGTATTTGTTTGGTTGTGGGATTCAATACATGTGATCCATTTTTTGCAGTATTATAGATCTTTACCTTGTTTTTACCTTGCTCTCAAATTTTCACTAAAAAGCATATTTCCCTTCACAACAGTATGCAGTATTCCTTCTTGCATAGATCATTTACAGTGTAGATTTGGGTTGGGACAAGCCCAAATTCACTACCCGGGTACCCACCCCCTGCTATTACCCAACCCTTACCGGGTACCCAGTTTTACCGTAGCCCTGGCAAAATGTATATAGATACATGTGTAAGACAATCTGGTCATAAATATGATGTGACAAACCATGGACCTGGGTCTTGCTCAGTACCAACCAGACCCAAGTATCCCATGCAAATTTTATGAATAAGTAAATAAACAGCTACTTAGCTTCCTCACAGTGTGTTCATTGCATGTTCTCCAGTCCATATCATGTTTCACCAATGTCATGGTGGCCAGTTGTGTCTTTGTTATTGTCCATTTCCAATGTAAAAGTATGTTTCATGTTGACACATATTTTCCCACCTTTGTGAAATTCTGCATGTAAAGGCTCTGTTTTGGTACACTGCTGTTGTGTTTCCAACTCTGTTGCTATTTCACAGGGTTGGTTACATTTGGTTTAATGTAAGTTGCTTTCATCCATACTTCTTTCTCATTATATCGGTGTAGATATCGGGAAACAATGGTCGCTGTGGCCGAGATCGACGATGACACCCTTTGTCCTCCCCTCCAGTGTGTGGGATGTCATGGGAAGAAATCAGTCCAGGATCCCCATGTTTTCTGCACTGACAGCTGGATGCCATGTGACCGAGACCATTGCTCAAGTGCACTCACTTGTCTACCGACCTCTTCACTGGCACCAACTTGGGATTACCACTCCTAGTTACTGTTTGCTTCTTACACCACCCCGTGGGCGGAGTGCCTCACACCTCAGGCATCACCCTGGCAGATGATGCCTGCATTCACTACCTGTGCGTCTCCTGCAGAGATGTCGCCACAGCTATTATCATCTGCCACAAGCTCCACCTTGCATCCTCTTGAGTCCCCCGATCTGGAGCCCCTTTACTTGGCGCTTCATCACCAGGCACCTCCCCTAGCGCAGGCCTCATGTGGCTCTCCAGGCATCACACCTACCAGCATTGGATTTTGGGCTTTACACAGCCTATCAACAACCTTATCAGGCCCCTCTATACCTTGCCTGCCCCATATTACTCAAAGCAGTTGCAGCCTTTCCAGGCGCTGAATCTTAAAGCAGCTCGTCTGGCGCTCATCTTCAGGCACCTCACCATGGTGACGAGAATTGGCCTAAGGAAACTGCTCTTAGCTATGATTGATATTCACCTTCTGGAGGATATGGCTCAACTTCTCATGCTTGCAATTCGCTTCGTTCTTCTCATATCTTATCTTGAGGAGGCAGAGTGGCGCCCATCAGAAAACTGTGTCAACATATTTTTCAAGCGTAGTCTGAAATGGAAGTCGCCAGGTTGAAATGAGTGCTGTAAAGCTCGAGAAAGCTGCAATCTCAGTGGCTGATACCGACTTCTGGTTATTCGTTTCAGAGGTCGGTCAAAGTTCGCGAAAGGTCGTTCTGACGTGACCCGTAATGGGATGTCCTCAGATCTTTGTTTTGCGGAGTGAGAACTTAGATTCTGATTTTAATGAGATTGCCCCATTGTTATGATCCACACGAACAGAAATGTTTAGTTGCACAGACAATAATGAATACAAGTATACTGCAGCAGTCAAGATTAAGAATGTAATGTAAGTAACTGTAGTGGCCATGGGAACTTGACATATATATTATGGGTGCAAAACAGATAATTTGGTCAGCAGTACTTGCCATTTCAATAGCTTTTGGAGTTTTTTCTTTGTCAGTGAAGCTCTCTCAATCCCAATGAAATCCATTGCACTTCCTATTTTCTGATGCGTGCAAGACAGGTTTAACAAGGGTAAGACCACTGGCTGATGTGGCTCTGCAAGTACAATGTTTGGCTTTCAGGCGAGGCTCAGCTTCATGCCAAAGATTTTCATGGAATTCAGAGGCAGTGTGACTTTATTTCTGTTTATCTGCCCTGGACTTCGGGGGAACAAGCATATGTGGTTGATGCCTCACTTGCTGCCTGTTCTCTGCATGAGGAGGGTCGTAAGTATCCAGGCCATACTGTTCATTTCAGGAATTCCTGACAGACATTCGAATCAATTTCAGAGGTCAACCTTGACAATGGTATCAGAATCAAATACCGTTAGGTGATGGTCAAATCCTTGATATTCATGGATAGAATTCAAAAGCTATACAAATTTATATGATCATGGCCATAGTTATTGCACATCCTATGTTGAGCTGATTGGCGTTAAATCAAATCAATTAATTAAATCAACCTTGGTGCTGTTTCCAAGATTTCCTTAGACCCTTGATAATGAATTAAGAATGAAAACACTGACATGCCCCAATATATTGTGTATTTAGCAAATATTGGCTTTGGAAGTGACTGGTTAATACATCTTGTCTGAGATTACATGATCAAAAGTTTCAAAACTGAATCAGTTTGGAGTATTGTAATTTGAGATTGGACTACAACTTTTGAGTGAGTTTGTGTTTTTCGGCAGTATTTCATTTGTATCACTGTGTATCAACTTGATGTGGGAGGAAAACCCCAAGTGATGCAGGTGAATCCCATGAGTACGGGTGTAGTGCTGACAAAACTCAGAATGTTATCAGGCCATTGAGGCCAAATCAGGCATTAGAAGCTAAGAACAGGTTTTCGGCATGTATGAGGGATGGAAGGCTACACAGCTCTTTGTGGTGCCTTAGACGACTGGGTCCCTACCATACTGTATGAACAGCTATTTCTGCAAATATCTAGCAATGTTAAGTGACATTTCTTCTGAAAATTGCGTATTCTTTTTGTGATGTGAATTTAAACTTTCTAACAGAACAAAAGTTGATGTTGCCAAACTGAAAGTCTGTACTGGTCAAATTAAGATGAAACTTGGTGTAAATTGGAAAGCATATCTTAGAACCAAACGTACACTAGCCTGCAACCATATTTAAACAAATTATCAGCATACATAGAGGAGAAATGGCAACAGCATTGTACTGTCTTCCCCAAACATGATTTAGGTTCTAGCAGTCATCAGTTTACCGATCCAACACTGAGGCACAGTGTTGTAAAAAATTCGACAAACTTTAGATGCCAGATTCCAAAGTCTATTACTTCTGCGCATGCCAGTGTGCGTCTTATATTGTTTTTTCTTCTGCATCAGCCTTTATTGTTGCACCTTTGCAACCAAAGTTGTCTTTGTTGGGTATTGTTCACAGCAATGTTGGTGTCATTGAGACATATATGGTGGTGACTTAAATACAGTGGTTATTTATTTATGTACATTCACAATAACTGATTAGCAGTGCTGGTTCCTTTTACAAGTCACACGTGTAGAGGTTGATCTGTTCATGAACAGGACATGACGTCATCAGACAGGAAGCGCATCAATATGAAATAATGAAATAAGCTAGAGGTATGGGAGGCATTGCTTTCAAGTACTACTGAAAACAACTACTGGGTGTGTTTCTCCAAACCTGAAGTGCTGTAATAAAACTAGAAGTGCATATAACTTTGTTATCATGTTAGGTTATTTCAGTTCCTTATTGGGCTGGCTGGTTTAAGCTTTTCTGTAGAAGGCATATTTTTCTGGATGTACTGTTTTTGAACCTGAAGTGCATGGTGGTATGTTGGGATGTTTTGGGACATTGCTGCCACACCAGACAGTTTGGTCATTCTCTCATCACTGTGCTTGTAGTAGTAAATAAGATAAAAGTTTCCTTTTATTTGGGATATTGTTATTGTATTTGTTCTTAGTTTAATTAGTTGTTGTGGGTTGAGGCGAGGTGAAATGGGGTTTAACATCACATTCAAGACTATGCTTGTCGTAAGAGGCAACTAACGGGATCGGGTGGTCAGGCTTGCTGACTTGGTTGAAGCATGGCATCGATCCCAATTGCGTGGATCAATGCTCATGATATCAATCACTGGATTGTCTGATCCAGACTTGATTATTTACAGACCCCTGTCATATAGCTGGAATATTGCTGAGTGCGGCATCAAACAACAAACCAATCAACAATCACATTCAAGATTGGAAAAATCATTTGAATCTGGTTTTTTCTGGAAGGAGTAAGTAGATGGGGATATTAGATTCTACATCCAGAATCAGAACATATAAGGGATTTCTCTGGCTTAAAGCCTATGAGGGTTCATATATTATTTCTCTTTTGTTTTGCATAATGACCTATAATTGTATCAGTTTCATGCACGTTCATAATGGCCACTGAATTCCTGGCTCAGATTCCACTGCAACCTACCCGTAAATGAAGAGATGTCATCATAATGGTTTAAGTAGTGCTTGTCCACTTAGATACCTTGCCACAGTTTAACAAGCATATTCCCTCTCACACACATGATACTGAACCAAGATGGCCAGTCCTTGCTTGATAACCTTAATTCTGAGCCCCCGGCAGGGTAGCAGCAAGTACCGACTTTTTACTGTCTTTTGGAAAGATGTGACCAGGGGATCAAACCCGACCTTCTGCTCTCAGGGCAGACATTCTAGATGGATAGATGGATGATTATGTATTATATTTATTAGGGCTGGGACCAACTGTGCGATCCGATGCGTATGATGATACCTTTCTCACGATCCGATACGTATCACGATACTTACGTGTGCTCTTATCTGTGGTGCATGAGCCATCTTTTCAATAGAAAGGATGGCCAAATACCTGGCACACTAACGATTTGCATTTGGCAGTGTCAAATATGGCGCAATGGATGAAAATAATTACGTTTTCACAACTTAGTTTTCACCAGTAATTAGTGTTTGAGGTAACATTAACTAAAGGATACGGGGGCACGGGTGGCCCAGTTGTCCAAGGCGCCACGATTCGCTGTGCAGAGTTGTGTCCCTTGGGCACGCCAGAAACCTATGATTGTGGGTTCGAATCCTGGTTCGCCCCGATTATGTTTCTAGGTTTGTCAGCACCACACCCGTGCTCGTGGGTTTCACCGAAGTGGTAAACATCAGAGACCTGCATCACTTTGGACTTTCCTCCCACATTAAGCTGACACGCCGTGATATAACTGGAATACTGTTATAAGCTGCGTTAAACCCAACAAACTCACTCACTATTAAAGGATACACTTTAAGTAAGAATCAATTCTTTTTACTTAGTGTATTATTGTGTTCGAAACTTGTATCGAGAAGGAAACAATTGCGATCCACCGATACATCAGTGTATTGTCCCACTACTAATATTTATGTATTGCCTTCCAAAACCTTTTTCATGTGCAGAGTTTACAATATTTTGTTAACCTTTCAATATGATTTGTGTGTTTTTGTTACAGGAGCAGGTTGAAGAGCAGAAAGACTAAGTGTCCCTAACATGGAACAGCCAACTCCTACAGTGAAAAGTGTGTGCCCAGAGATATAATTGTAGTACAGCATGCAATAGCATACCCTATGTGCTTGTCAGTACTCTCAATGAAAGAGCTCATAATGTCACAGACCATCATATTTTGATCACATATGATGAGACTCAAATCTCACTCACCCACTTTTCATATGATGTTTCATAGATTGCTCATTTTTGATAAATAGATAAAAACACTTCAGCTTCAAATGATATGAGTGTTGTTCATACATCAGACTGAATACCCAAAACACCGGGAAAGATGAAATATGCCATATGTAAAGGGTCTGGAGACTCGAAGGGTAGCTGCATTACACACATAGTTGTGGAGATTAAGTTGGAGGACTGGTATATAAATGTGTCATTGTTTTTCCATAATCTTAAAAGTCTGTTGTTAATTTGAATTGATGTGGTGCAATTATATATATGCAATGTTTTTATCTCAGCATTGACCAATGTTACACACCAACTAAGGCCTGTTATAGTCTGTGACATGCTGCCGTTCAGTAGGCTGCTGACAAACAAGGAAAGGTGTGTTTGTGGCATTACTTTAGTTTATTGGATCTTCTTGTGGTTTTACTGTTTGATGTAGTCAACGTAACATTGTCGGTTGTTATCCCTCAGTATTTACTATGTGGATATCACATGTGTATGTGTTTTAAGCTGTTAATGCCTCATATGGCTGCCATAATACTTCTCTATTCATGAAAGGAGTCAAAAGCATACCTGTGATTGTGTTTTATTTGTTAATAGTATGTCAATTTCTTAAATTATTTCAGTGGCTAGATAAGAATAACTGAATTACTGAACACCCATTCATTTTATATGCTATGTGTTCAGTGTTATTAGGTTTTAGAAGCTATTATTCTCCACCACAAAATAGTAACGGAGTTCATCTGTTCTTTTGTCCGTCCGCTTCTCAAAGGGGACAAATTTTCTCTAAAACTATTTCACACTGATTTGACTGAAACAATTATTCACAAAAAGTGAATGGGATTGGGTACAAGTTGTCCAACTTAGAACACCAATTGAAATTCTAATGTGCCCCATGCCTGGGGATAGTGATAAAGCTGTTTTCTTGTTTATGATGTTTCCATGTATAAAGAGTAATGGTATAATAGATTTGTTTGATGTTAAATTTTTCAAAGTGCCTTGTAGGTTTATTTGATTGTTACCAATGGTAGTTATCCCAGATGTGTCTTTCAGAGAGTCCAACACTTGAGCATTTACGTATTGTTTCATGAATATTTCACACTGAGTCAAGATATGATCTCAGATCCTCTTGGTGGAGGTATTTTCAGTTGTCTTATGTAATGTGACATGCATACAACCTGATGGGTTAGAGACAATATCTGAAGTGGCATTGATAATAATTGAGTGTTGTAGAATTTTGGCATGTATGAAATATGCTATACAGTCAAGTCCTGTTAATCTGACATGGTTTGTTGCATATGATTATGTAAGATTAACAAGTATGCCAGATAAATGAAATTAAGTAGTATCAACGTTCATGATCGAAAATTGGACAACCACATGATCGATAACGATACATATCATTTGTAATAAAATTATGAAAAAGGAAATATCCATTTTGATATGTTAGATAGTTAGTAGAATATGTTTTCTTATCATGCAACCTCGAAAGCTTTGCATAGGGTATTCTGAATTACTGTTACAGGCTGTATGCCTGATTCAAAATACTTTTGAAAGCATACTCTGGAATGGAAGTTGCCAGTTTGAAAGTAGTGCCGCAAAGCTCAAGAAAATTACTTTTAAGTGGCTAATGTAGACATTTCAGTCAAAGTTCACGAAAGGTCATTCTGATGTGATCTGTAATGGGATGTCCTCAGTGGTAGCAGACCCATGAAGATCCCAGTAGAGTATAGGTCTCAGCAACCAATGCCTGCCGTAAGAGGCGACTATGATTGTCATAAGCGGCGACTAATGGGATCAAATGGTCAGGCTTGCTAAATTGTTTGATGCATGTCATCGTATCACAATTGCATAGATCGATGCTCATGATGTCAATCACTGGATTGTCTTGTCCAGACTCGATTATGTAGACCGCCGTCATATTGCTGAACTCAGCGTGAAACAACAAACAAACTTAGCGAAAGCAATAACTTATATCTGATTTTAATGAGATTGAGTTAATCTTAACGTGATTAATCCTTTTTTGTTTATTTAAAGCATTGATTGTCCACTGTTAAGCAAGTTTATCTCTGCAGCTGTTGTAATATGCAGATAGACAACGTGTCTAACATCAACACAAGCGGGCAGATGACCACGGAGTACGCAAATCACTGTGTCGGATTAACGAGATTAATGAGTTATTTCGAGAATTTGTTGCAAATTAGGTGTGTCACAGTCGGAGTGCGAGAATGTCGGATTAATGGGTCTAAATAGCACTGATATAATCGGTTCCCATCATTAGTGTCGGGTAAAGCCGATTGTCGGATCAACGAGTGTTGGATTAATGAGACTTGACCAGATATATAGTTTTTCCTGTAGCTGTATTTTGATGATAAGCTGCTTTCAATGGATTGTTTACATGAAGTGCATGACTATTGCTCAATGTTTTGTACAGTCCTGCTGCTATCTTTTGAATTGATGATGTACGGTTGATGTTATGTATTTAATATTCATCAGATTTGTTTGGCAGTTGCAACACTTTCAAGAGACTTATAAAAGTGTTACATGTTTTAACAAAGCATCCCATATTGTTTGTCACTTGAGTCAAAGAAGAAATTCTGTATGAAATGATGAATGTTGCCTCTAGTGTAACATTTGAGGTGAGGTAAAAATGAGTTTTGTCACATCCAAGATTATTGCACTTACATAGCGACATGTACTAATCCGGACTATGGCCATTTTAAAGTGCTAGCCCACTGAGATACCATGCCTCAGTTTAACATGAATACCCCACTGAGTCACAGTATACTGACTTGTAATGACCAGTCCTTGTAATGCCGAGCACCTGACAGGGTAACAACAAGTTACATCTTTTACCATCTTTTGGTATGATGCGGCGGGGGATCAAACCCCAGACCTTCCGCTAGACTACAGAGGCGGTCTCTTGGGTGACTTGTAATACTTCTGTCACTGAATTACAGTTTTAATAATTTTACATACTAAAACAATACAAATGTGAAACTAAACACATGTCTAGGTGTTGCACATTGATGACTCCTTTGAACTGAAGATGACTGTTGTATTTGGGGGACTTTGTCGATCTGTCCATCCGTCAATCTCCTATGAAACCACAAGGCCAATGTTGCTAAAACTTTGCATGTATGATCTTAGCTATGGTGTCTGTTAAAGTGCTCACAGGATTTTGATCTGATGTTAAACATGGCCACCTCGGCAGACTTATTTGAAAACCCATAAATTTACAGTTGAGTGAAACTTAACCAAAAACTTGTTGATGACCATCTTTAGTGCATGCATAGAAAGGACATGATATAGCTATAAATGTGTACCTGAACATACTGGTTGGGTATAGGGTGAGCATGTAATCCATCATTTCTTCTAAGGGTTGGTGGAATTTAGTCAACCAATAACTTGCAAGTACCGTATATCGCCGTCTAAAGCAACCCCACATACAAGACGACCCCCCTGTACAAGCCTTTAAAAATCGATGCTAATTAATATACCAGACAGTGTAATTACATGATTAGTTTGGGTACTTCATTACGAATTTGTTGACATGGTATTTCCGGTGTTACGTGCTCACAGTAATGTCTGTGTTGGGGGAGAAAAAACATCAAAACTCTTCAACCCTGTGTATAACTGTAAGACGACCCCCCTTGAAAGCCCCCTCATTCGAGGTACAAAAAAAACCTCGCCTTATGCACAGCTGTATACGGTAAGTCCCAGGTATCTGTAAATTTCACCGACCCAATCAGAACCTAAAGATTCTGTGACTTGTTTGGAGTAAAGTATACATTTGTCCAAAATACAGGATATATCTGTACCAGTAAAGAGTATTTAATGGCGATTCATTAAGTTAGAATTTGACATTAGGTTAGAGCATGAGGACCAGGTATGATTAGACACCAGGGTTCCAGTGCTCTAACCTATTTAAACCATGGCCACCTTTGGAAGAACCTTAGCATTTAAATGTTTGAACATTGTTTTTATAACTGTATTTAAGAAAATATTCAAGAACTCTTTTAGAACACAGGTGAGTTGGCTCTGTACGATGCATGTGAAATATGTAACCTGAGCCTGTGGCATTTGCGCATTCCTCTTTGACGACTCATGCTATGAAATGAGCATCCCAAGGCAAGTATTCAATTCATATTATACTAACTTGAGCACATTTATCAATCACATATATACTAAACAACAAAGGTTCCTGTGACATTGAATAAGATTTAATGCAAAGTTCAGTTTTTTACCAAATCTGAAACAATGTCGGTTTGCAACAGATAAAAGACTCCTGTAAGTGTTCAGATGGTTTAATTTGCCATACTGACTTCAGAAAGTGTGTGATTTCATAAAAAACATGAACATGCCAAAATGTCAATTTACAAATCAATAGCGTGTGTCCACCTCTGGTTGCGATGCAAGATAACAACTTCGTCTCACGGAATGGACCAGGCGTCGCACAAAGTCCTGTGGGATATCTGTCCATATCTGCTGGAGCATGTTTCGAAGTTCCTGGAGTGTCTGTGGAACACGTGGTTAATGTCGAAGGCGCCGATCCATCTTATCCCACATGTGCTCGATTGGTGAAAGATCAGGGGAGCGAGCCGGCCAGGGGATGACATTCACGTTGTTTTGTTGAAGAGAATCCTGAACAAGTCGAGCAATAGGAGGTCAGGCATTGGCATGTTGAAAAGTAATGCCTTGGCCATGACGACGCAAAAACGGTAGAACAACAAGGCTGATGATCTCTTTGCGGTAGCCCTGTCCATTGAGATTTCCCTCTACCACTATCAAAAGGGTCCTCTGTCTTGTAATCCCACCCCATACCTTAACGCTGCCGCCCCCCGAACCGATCTTCGGTTATGTCCCTTCTATGTCCCTCCTATATTTGGAAAATATCTGTAGACGCCCAGTTGACGTTACATATGCTCTGCAAGTCTGCACGGCAGTCGCCAGCTTCAATGTTCAACACATGTCTGCAGCTAAAATTCAAATGTCATGGTTTTGTAATAGGCCTTGCCTTGCCTGAGGCGGCCCAGTGGCCGCAGAGTTCTCTTGCTCTGTGAGTGTCTAGATCGAATCCCACTGCTGACTCACGGCCTTTTGCGTTGTTTTATTTACATGGTAAATGTGCGGGTTTCAGCGTGAGTCAGTCAGCTGGGACCATTGTATAGTTCATGCATTGGCCAGGTGAACAAAAAGGCTTGATGAAAATATGATGAATTTGAATAAATGAAAGTAAAATGTTAAAAAAAATATATAAAATCAGAAATGCAATTCAGAAAGCCTAACCACTGTCGACTATTTACTATATATTCTTTTTTGTACGAATCCAGGGGATAGCCTACCTCTCCCCCAAGGAAACTCTAAACAAACTATATTAACAAATTGCCCAACATACTTACGATTCTACTTACTTAAGAATTTCTCCCCCACACAGCTACATGACACCATATTCTACAACTAAAGATAGAGGGGTAGAATAGGTCTTCAGGAAACCCGTAAAAGGTCACAAAGGGGATCGGGTGGTCAGGATCGCTGACTTGGTTGATGCGTTGATTGATACTCGTGACGGTCTCTGACGGTCTCCGCAGTACCTTCTTATTTGCCACCAGGCTGACCCTTGAACCGATCAGCGGTAAACTCCAGTCGTACAGCCATTGGCCAGCAAAGCTGTTTTCGACCAATCTATACTGTGTTGGGCGCATCATAATCCGTGGCGGCACATACAACACGCAGCTCGAGCACTCAAGTAGGGAACCACCACCCCACCCCAAACGACCAAATGGAAACAATTTACGGTCAAAACGTGAGTACATACAATTTACAGACGTACTTGTATTAAATTGTTATGATGTTTCTTACAGGTTCTTAAAATAGCCACCCGATGTCCCTGCTATGAAATTACTGTAAATTACGTGACTTCCTACACCTTACACACAACAATAGCTTCCTTGTGACATCACAACACAAATATTTTGTACCACCCATATTGTCATGTCATGTCATGTCATGTGCTACTGCTGTATCAATGGCCCTCATTATTCTGATTAAGACATTGGACTTTGCACCCTAACTGTAATACAAAGTGGCTAAGATTTCAAGGTAATGAATATAAGTGAGTCTGGTTTTCTGCATTCAATAGGATTGTAGAATTCTGATTATTTGTCTGTCCACCAATGTAAACTCATCACTAACATTAAATTGTATATCTAAATTACAAAATAATAGCATCATACTTTTTGGTCATTCGTCTTATCAACACGCCCTGAAAGAGGGGTGGTGTAACAACTCGGTTAACAATGTCAACATCGTGTGTGACCATTTGCAACAGCCTGGGGGATGTTCCAAATGGCAGCCAAAGATAGCTCAGTGGGGACCAACGGCATGCCAGCGGTTTTGCCCATTTGACTTGACATTTAAAGCTGACAATAACGTCTATCTGTTTCACGTGTAAACATGGAATGAGAATGCTTAGAATAGAATTTGGCAGAGAACTTGAAAAAATTGGACTAAGTACTTACCTACTCGGATTGTCGCCCCGTGGGCTTCTTTAGCTACAGACAAAGTCATTGAAAATGAAGGTGGCTGTGGTTTCTGCTTACTGGTCTGGTATTGCAAAGGCCTACCCACATACTGTGAGACAAATATTACTCTATTTCCCCATTCCGACAATAGAAGTGGACCGCCAAAATCCATGTTTTCACCACAAACACATCTTCCCGAGGCAAGGGAGTTAATTGACTCTAAAAGTCCAGTTTCCACCCTTGCCGAACGAGGCTGGAATTACTGGGTTCGATCGTAGCGCAGTGGCTATTACCAGTTTTGTCCCTCCTGAGCCTCTTCTCTATGGACCAATCAGATTCCACCTGTCGTATCACTTGCATTTGCTTCACACAAAATGGTGGCGCCCAGGCAAGACGATCTTATCGATAATCAAGATCTATGTTGTGATAAAACGGGTCTTACATCGCGAAATCACGCGAGCACCTTGATTAAAAACATGAAAAGATTTGGAAAATATCTGCTGACAACGAGTTTTGCACATGCTTTGCAAATCCTGAAGTCGACCGAAATCTGCAGGACAGTTTACGAAACGGATTTCGATTTCGGTGTGTAAGTTTGATTGGACTATGCATAGACTCGCTAGTCCAGCCAAAATGTAACTCCATAATACCAGCCTAATTCGGCAAGGGTGGAAACTGGACTTTTATAGTCAGTTTAACTCTCTGGCCTCGGGAAGATGCCACAAACATGGACGGTCATTAACAAGTGCTCTTGGTACATGTAGCTACCGAGGGATTCTTTCAACGTAGACCCAGCAAACAAGACTTTCACCACTCAGTAATATTATATCTGCACTGTTGTCAGTATATTTTCAATCCTAGAATGACCATTTACATTTTGAACAGCTCTTAGAATACTGACTTGAGTGACATCACATGGTCACATTGTCACGAAAGTTGACTGATAAGTTCTGAGCCTCATTAAAGAGGCGCTAAGCTACAGACGAACATACACTTTTTTAATCAGATTTCAACTTAGAACGAGTGAGTTAGCT